TTAGTGTGTACGTGCACTTCTACATACCGTTAAACACAGGTTTCAGGTTGCCCAGGTCTTTACAATGAGGTGGGCCTCATCGGGTGTTTCTGGGCACTTGGTTCCCTTTCATTTCAACCACACGCACCTTTGTCCCGTCTCGTCCACCTGTCATATCCTCATTCTTTTGTCTCATGTGCGTGCACACGTGCACGTTGGCCCTCACCTTAGCTTTACGTTTCCCCTTGGGGAGGCGTGTGTGTGTGTGCCCCTTGTAGTTACAGGGATCCCGTTGGATTGTGGTTTTTTCTTTTCAGCAGGGGGGCAGTGGTCCTTTCAGCAGTCACTGCCTAACGAAGACACTGCTGATCGGATGTGATATTCCTGAGGGACGCCTCGGGAACGTACCTGGAACAACTTTAAAGTTTGCGGCAGTCACGCACGGAACGCCGTCGCCCTGTCGTTTCGGTTTCGACCTGCGAGTTTGGCCCTCTTTCCTCTTGAAGACCTCCAGGTTCCAGTGGTTCGTACTTGTACTCTATTATAGGAAATGGAACCCTAGGCCGGCGTGTGGCACCGCTTTCAGTTCAGTACACCCTATCCTAAGTGTGTGTGTGTGTGTGTGTGTTCAAACAGTGTGGGCACACTGAGGGGTTCTTACGGTAGGAGAAAGGAATCCGGAAGCTGATGCTTAGATCGCTGAAGCGCGCGGCCGTGAACGGCTAATTCGTTGCTATTTACAGTACATTCATGCCTCTCGACATCGTCCATGTGCACTTCGACTGCGCAGGCTCGCAGAATCTGAGTGTCTGCGGCGGGTGCTTCTGGCGACTGCGCTCTCGTTGTGGTGCCGTGCACATTTTCGCACATGGTGGTCACTTTTCGTGGCAGGCGCAAGGGAAACCTCGTGCTTTGGTGCTCCAAAGTCGACTTTTCGTGACAGGTGCAAGGGATCGGAGGTGTTTTGCTTCGAAATGCAGTTTTCGTGGCAGGTGCAGCACTTTGGACATGGTGGTGATCGTCGAGGAGTTCAGATTTCGTGACAGGTGCAGTGAATCGTGACTTTTGGACATGTGGCTCGTTTGCAGATTTCGTGGCAGGCACAGCACTCTGTGACCCTCGATGTGCAGATTTCGAAGCAGGTGCAGCACTTTGTGAACCTCGAAGAGCAGATTTCGTGGCAGGTACAGCACTTTGTGAACCTCGAAGTGCAGATTTCGTGGCAGGCGCAGCGCTTGGTGAACCTCTAAGTGCAGATTTCGAGGCAGGCGCAGCACTTGGTGGACCTTGAAGTGCAGATTTCGTGACAGGTACAGCACTTTGT